TGAAAAGCCCTTGACTCTCGAAACTGTATGTAAAAAATGCGGTACACGGTGCGCCGAATGTGACACCTCTAAACTCCACTACCAAGAAGACCCAGGACCGTGTCATGGAAAATTTTGATTTAGGGATGTCACGTTTGAAGGGGTCGACACCGCTGAAAAATTTGGTGAAACTTTTTGTTGTTTTCTCCTAATAATGAATATTTCAAAGTGTTTGCTTATAATATGAAAGGTTATAACAGTTATTTTCTTTAAGAGTATTTAATAGACTAATCCATAAGACATGTCAAGATAATTTACAGTGGCTCCAAAATTATTTTTATGACAGTAGAGTCAGATCTAAATATCAAGTGATTGACAGTCTCAACTTTTTACCTATGAAATTGTCCGCCATCCCTAAATGTTTGTGGATTGACTGAATCAAAGAATGGTTAGTTTCCTCATTACTTCAATACTAGTGAGAATTAAACTTATATGGGACCATACAGGGATGCTCGGTATTACGGTCATAACTTTATGAGTGAAAAAGAGAGAGCCGAATTGTTAGTGTGGTTAAGTGAAAGAAAGAACGACGTGTTCGATTAAAAAAAAAAGACTTATTATCTTATTGTTGAAGTGACATACATATTTCAAGACAAGCTTGTTTGAAATTTAGAGACTTGTTAATGAGAGCTACGGGTAAAGGATTAGAGATGGGGAATGAAAAAGGAAAGAAAGAAAAAAGTGGGTGGGGCCGTGAATCCATTCGATTCCATGACCATAGCTTCAGTCTTTATGAATGTCTTAAGAACCAAATTTTAAAAAGTAGAATGGAAAGTCAAATTCGAAGGTAGTGATGATTGGATACCTTCAAAATTAACAGACGGGAAGCTTAATGTATGTTATAATGATCAATATAGTGGAGCGTCGATACAATGGTATGAATGGATGGCGTGTACAAAAAATAACGTCAAAATTCAACACGCTTTAAATGGGGGAGAGAAATCTTGACCGGGAACACGTTAAAAATTAAACGGTTAATGCTAAGAAACAAACAAGGCATATATGAGTACAATGGCAGTCTTTTTCATGCCTGCCCGGTTTGTTTCAAAGATAACCGTGAATAAACGCGCCATCCACACACCAAACACTCATTAAATGAACTAAATGTAATTGCGTTAAGGATGAAAAAAAGCTTACATCGAACAGTTAAGTATAAAATACATTTCAATTAGGGACCACGAATTAAAAAAGAAAAAGATTCAAAATACTGAACTGAAACAATTTGTAGAAAGCTTAGATCTAATTATAGGTTAGACCCGAGGAAAAGTTTATTCGGGGATCGCACCAATGCTAGTCAACTCTATTACAAAAGAACAGGACAAAATCAAGTACGTAGATTTCACGAACTTGTATCCGTGGGAGAATAAGTATTGTCATTATCCCGAAGACCGTCATAGCCAAAGATTTTAAAAACATCAAGGACTATTTCGGTATAGCTAAGCTCAAAATATTACCACCTAGGGGATTATACCATCCCGTGCTATCATATAGGTTAAATAACAAGTTAAAATTTCCGCTATGTAGCTATATGACCAACAAACCGGATCAGGGGGACTGTTTGCCAATAACATGAACACATTTTTTAAAATTCAAACAAAAGGCGAGCGGCTTTCCTGACTGGATACACAATGAAAAAGGTAGGACAGATTAAGTGTCTCCGTACTTAAAGAAAGATGGAGTTTCATTTGGTCGGACGAACATCTCGAAGAACCTGGGTTTGAGAGCTCTGACTAAATTATGTCTCAACGGTTTTTGGGGTAAGTTTGGCCAGAGACTTAATATGCACCAGACAGAGTTCTTTCACAATAGGTCAATCTTTTCTTCCACTTGTTTGCCGATCCGAAGAAAGAACCTTTAAGTTTTCACATACTTACCAATGACATGATACAAATAGAATGGCAATATAAACGATACTTCCAACCCGAAGATAATAAAACGAACATTTACTTAGCAGCATTTACAACATGCTGGGCCAGACTCAAACTCTACAGTGTGCATGAAAAGCCTGATAGGCGAGTGCTGTATATCGATACTGACAGCGTCATATACGTTAGTGGCCCAGGACAGTACGATCCACCTTTAGGAGATTACTTGGGTGAACTCACGGATGAGCTGGATAGAGGGGGGCACATCGTAGAACTGTTGCTTGGTCGTGTGGGGGTTGCGTTCATTGAACGCACATCTCCTTGTGATCTTGTTTATCATATTTTATGTTCATAACTGTGTTGTTTGTGCCGTGTTGCGGCTGTAAAAACTCTCCCCGTACATTCAATCAATATTGTTTTATTTTCATCCTCAAGGGATTGTTCGGCGTTCAGTTTTGGTGTTCCCCTCCATGTCCTGTCTTCATATTTGCTGGGGCGTGTGGGGGTTGCGTTCATTGAACGCCGCCTTTACTTGCTGATCTTGTTTATCATATTTTGTGTCGAGTGGTCTTAAAACTATACTTACAAACAAACACAAACAACGAAACTTGTAAAGTCGGGGGTTTTACATTAAATTATACAAATAGCCATCTCATCAACTTTGAAAGTGTGAAAAATATAGTAACAAGTCCACAAAATAATTAAAATATCGTAGTAACAAACCCTTGTAAAATGTCTAGAGGTAAAAGAAAATTGTATAATAGGGGAGAAAAAAGTTATCAGATGGTGTATACCAAGCGTAGAAAACTGGACAATGATGATACAGTGCCTTATGGATTTTAAAATGAAATATAGTTATTGTATTTGTAAATAAGATTTGTTTGCTTTCTTTCGAGAAAGTGTCCCTAGTGTTTAAAAGATGTACATACTTATTCCAGTTTTGTCATTACTGCTTCAAAAAGTGTCACTTCTGTTTCGAAAAGTATTACACATGTTTCAGTTTTTGCACTTTTGCATGTAATTTCCTACAGGAAATTTCTGTTCCAAAAAGCGTCGTTGCTGTTTTGCCAGTTCGTAATTATTCGGTTACATCTGTTTCAGATAGGAGTCAAAAGTCTTCAGTCTATTTACGTAATATTCCATACTTCCGTTGAGGGGTGCGCAGTCAATGACAATCATTTTGTGTATGCCGAAGTTTCGTAAAATATACATTTATAAACGCGCTGTTCGATTTCTGATTGGACGTTATTTTTAAAAAGGCATTGTGGGTTATTAATAGATCTATTGTCAGTGTTATTTATAGTAAGGCGATTTTATCAATTTCCGCAATAGTTGGGGTTGCATTCTGGGCACTGTTGGGCACCCAGCTGTTTCATAAGATCGCTTTGTAGGTAACAGGTCACCACTGCGTCTAATCCGGGTAACACTCTCCCAATCTCTGGTACCAACTCCTTTAAACAAGAATACTCTTTCGGTCTCAAAGATATTCCTTTTTTGTCGGAACAGCGTCATTTTATGCTTTCCAGTACTGTCGTATGTCCACATAAACGCTATTATCGGCAACCTTATAGTAGACATTTCCTCCAACGTGGGTCCAATAACTTTGTTTGTTTTCTAAAGCCCTGTCAGCATGTTTTAACTGATCAACAAGGTTTTTCCATTGTATTAACATTAAGCTGATACCCTTTTTGTCGGTTTGTCATCCTGCTGTTCTCTTATATCGACTCTAAGTTCGCCTTTCTATTCATTAACTTGCAAATACCTCTGTTTACCGAGACTGAACTTGCATCTGTAGCTTGCCATGATTCTTGGTCAAGTGTCAAAACTCTTATGACGAGCGTTAGTGTTCCTAGTCTTATATACAGGAAGGTCTCTCCTGATTGACAAGCTATTTACTATTTAGAGGAACCTGGTTGTTATTTTTAGAAACGACGTCATCGTTTGATCGGTCTTTGTATAAACAACCATTGGTTTCGTTGGTTTAATTTATTACAGGATTATGTTATTCTAAAAATAGAATGATGATATCATTCTTCATCAAGAATCCAATACACCCGACGCCCAATGCGCGGTACGTGACGTAAACTTTACGCGCATACGCGGTCCTTGGGGTTAACTGTGTTGTAAGACCCAATCAAACAAAAAACACATGACATTCAGTCTGATAACTAACAACAACATAAAAAAATCACCATGAAGACTAAAAGCAACACAAACAGCTAGGCTTTCTGTCAGACTTAGGACAATAAACACTATTCACACGCATTCAGATTACATTCAACGACGCAAAATTTCAATCATATGAGTCACACTTACGTTTTCGTTTTTTTTTGAAGGTAGGATTCTGTCAGACGACAATCATGTATCCATTCAACCTGCCTATTCATAGGCAAAGATTCAGTCAAATGACTAACATAAACTAATAAATACAGTCAGGCAAACATTCACTGGGACTAAATTCATTAAACACTGCAACAATTTCTTGAGATTGCAAGGTGGCATTAAGGGGACATAGGAAATATTTAATTTAGTATGTGGCTAATTGATAAAAATCTCATGCGCATGCAGTAAAGTATAATTTGTTAACGCGATATATATTACGTGCACGTGCGCATATACATCGTTTGGCCATGTAATGGCTTTTGCCCGCTCATGTAATAGCTGTCAGATGGTCACCTGATACTATCGCGTGCGCTAGTTAAAGCTATCGCGTGTGCACATGAAATATATCGCATGGCCAAGGGCTTGGCTATCGCATGCAAATAGTAGTAAATATTAGTGAATAAAAGGTTTCCTTTGCCCCCTTAATGCAACCGTAAAGCACTTAATCGGACGATTTATTTTAAAATTAGGAAAACGACAGACGACTAACACCGATACATATTGCTAATACGAACTCTAAATATATGAATCCCTTATTAAGATTTTTAATCCTGAAGAAGAAACCTGTTGTTTATGAAAAACGGAATCTCTGCAGTTCTTTTAGCTCAGTCAAAAATGTGTAAAATCATTTGGCGTGTATTTCTTTGAGCGCTTTAAAAAATTATAGTTTTAGCATTGAGGTTTTCTGAATCATTGCGTGTTCATGTTTTTCAGGAACCTTTGGGAGAGAATTTTTCATAGGTATACCAAAAGCGTGGAGCAATCTCCATCCAGGGTTTTCACTTCTAATTACCTCCAACACATCTGGATCAGCAACAATATACATGCCACATTTAGGCATTAATACTACACGTAGTTTTAATCAAAGTTTAGAATACAAGGTAACGGGTGACACCATTACAAAAGTAAATACAACAGTGGAACACAAAGGTATACATGTGACCACTGATGTCGACGTCACACTTACTGTGATGAAATATGAAAGTAGTACATGGGAAGGTTTTTTGGTACTTCCGAGGATAATGTTATCTTCGAAATACATTATTTCGTCAATGGACTCGGTTTCAGGTTATCATTATAAAAGTCATTTTCTCGTTCTTGCCATCCATGACAACACTTCTATCAACATAAATATTGGCGCACATGTAATAAGAGAATCGATGGATAGACTTGATACGTATCTCTTTATGCGAATTAAAGATTTAAGTGGAGTAATTGTTAGCAGTACCAAACCTATTGCGGTCTTCTCTGGACACGAAGCTACATCAGCACAAAAGACATGTTCTGAGTTAGAAAATTTCGTAGAAAACCTTTTGCCAACCATATATTTCGCTCAAGAATTTATCGTTCCCCCAGTACCGCCAAAATCACAATATGTAGTGCGAATATATAGTTCATCTCAAAACACATCTATAACATTTCAAAATACAACGAAACAAAATAAGCAAGTCCTTTTGACAGCTGGTGATTTTTATGAAATTTTAAGTGATAATGACTCAATGTGTGTTTCTGCAAACAAACCTGTCCAGGTGATGTTGTACAGTACATGTTATAACGATGCCAATATTGGCAATGGATTTATGTCTATAGTCCCGGCAATCAGTCAATATAGAAACTCCTATCATTTCTCCGTTATTGCAACCAGAGAAAATTTTACCCATTATCTTACAATCATGGCAAAAACTGAGGATATATCTGGACTTAGAATCAATGGAAACCAAATGGGAAATATCTTTCAGAGCTATGTGACACACGCAAACAATGAAACGTTTACTGTTAATGTATACAAATTGTCAGCCGGTGAATATCATCTGTATCACGTGACCGGTAGAACATTTGGAGCAATACAATATGGCTTTTATTTATGGGTTGCTTACGGATACCCACTGGGGATTGAGGTTAACAAAGGTAAATGCAAGTACATATTTTTTAGAAAATAACTTTAATTTATAATTAATAATCGTAAAACTTGATTTTAATGTTGGATAGTTGGTTCTCTTGTGACGGATAAGTACTAATTTCTAAGTGTTGTTTTCTTATTATACATGATTGAATGTTTAATTTTATTCTTAACTGGGACTAGTAATATTGTTTCGTTTGACATCATTTATTTCTTAATACTTTTATTTTCTTTGATATAGTTAAATTTACACAATATCAATTACAAGTAAATTATATCGAAACATTTCTAATTCAGTGTGTTTAAAAAGCAATAAAAATTGATAAGAAATGATTTGTATAAACCAAATTTTGTTATCGGGGAAGGTGGTGTGTGATCGTACAGTAATTTCCGGCTTTGTGTAAGCAAAACATAACTAGTGCAAATAATTGCGGATTTTGCAAAAGATATATCAACATTTTGATTGATAATTTAGGGACCACATCACACTTTATAAGCTACTTCAAGTGTTTAAACTTTATGTCCGCTTCCTTCATTTTAAATGATATTTCTTGAAGTTTGAAAAATAATACAATTTATTTATAATTTCAAAATATAAGACTGATAGAAATATGTTTGAAATAATTACTTAATGATAAAAATCTACTTAAAATGGCAGCGTAATCGGATAATATTTTGTTCAGGATAATTTTATTGTACATGTATTAAGTAATATATGCAATATGTATGTGTGCTAAACAACAGAGAAATTCTTTATCATAGCTCTTTTGAGAGTCTACCATAATTTTATGAAAATAACATAGTCGTTTATAAAAAAAGATAATTCATTAGATATTTACTGATTTTTTGTTGTATTAGCTTTCTGAGTTTTTTTTTATTTTGCTACTCGCAACGTTGGAAAATTGATATCTCACGAGACCGTCAGCGGTAAGAGTCAAGTGTTTTCAAGTCAACAACCATAATCAGTCACTCCGCCATAAAATAAAATTGCTGGTAACATTTTATATATACAAACCGGATTATTGATTATTATTGATTTGGAATACAATATATTAAGCACCTATTCGCACAATTAATAAAAAAACCTTATTCTCTAAACATTGTCATAGTATTTCTCAATTGTATTTCTTTCCATATTGTTTTGGTTATCAGAAAGCATAGGGAATGACGAACTAAGGTGTTTCCACTGTAAGGATATGACTCATTTGTACCTCTGTGACACCGTTACTAAATGTTCGAGCGGCCAGGTATACATATTATTTTCATCTTCATATCATTACCATGTGTAAGCCGTGCTTATAGTTATGTTAGACACTGTAAACAGCAAACGACGACATTCAAGCTTCAATGGTAAAGAACTTATGTGTCCCTATGTGTTTTACTTTATACAGTGACATGTATATTATGGTTTCAAATACGTTATTGCTCTACATAAGACCGCACTGCTGATGTTAAAATGTATTTAATTCACGAACATGCAATTGCAATTCTGTATGAAAATAGTATTTAAACTATATAATTGCATGTAAATATTAACAAAAATGATGTACTATGGTTCAAAATATAGAGTTATGTGTACAGTGTTCCGTTAGGGACTGAGAACGAAAAGCACAAAGTAGGACTTTACGTTGGTGACAGTCCGACAGTACGATGGCAAAGTGCGGCAGTTCGATGGTGACAGTGTATCGTACTATCGCATTATCACCATCGTACTGTCATACTGTCATCATCGTATTGCCGCGCTTTACCTCCCTTCTGTACCCTAACGGAACACCGTAGTTAATTGATGCAGTCTGACCATGGCAATACGATATTCCGTTATGGCCAGCGCGTTTTCTCTGAGAACAAAAAGCGCGAAGCATGACAGTACGATGGTGACTGTACTTCTGTACGATATCTAAGCGCGACAGTACGGTGGTGACAATACCACGATGGACTGTCACCATTGTATCGCGTTCTTCGCCCTTTTCGTTCTCACAGAAAACGCGCTGATCCTAACGGAACACCGTAGACCAGACATACGATAGGCGATTTAAATATGGTATACGTGATTTGTATTTTTAAGGTATGTCATGTGGAGACCTATAGAACCAACAGTGGGCAAGTGAAGTACAACAGCGGATGCTTGGCCTCCGAGGTAAACAAACAATCAACTAAACATACATACACAGTGAAACACACAACCACGCACGCACGCATACACACATATTGTGAAATGTGTTTGGTTTTCACCATAATACAAATTGAAAGAAAATGTAACCGATTTTTTTCAAGCTTATATTCAAAATAATGTTTTCTTTAAAGGGCCAGGCCATGAACCCCCGCCAGTGAAATTTTGGAAGAGGATATTGTTTTGTCATTGTCCGTCCGGCAATCCGCACGTCCGATCTTAGAGGATAGACATTATATTTATGGTTATGTTTTGCATACAACTTAAAATTATGAAGTTCATTTCGAACAATGTCTTGGTTTAAAATAAATTATGGGGTATAAAAAATTGATTGTGGTATCTAAATAAGACCAAAAAAGAAATAAAACAACCCCATAAGGTCTATCCCCTAAGAAAGTCCGTCCGTGCTTCCGTCCGAATTTTCTTTCCGATGTAATTTCCGGATGCGCATGAGATAAGATGCACATATCACCTGTATGGCCAAAATATACAGAGTAATATTCTGCCAAATTATTGAATATTTTTGTAAACTGTAAGAATATCTTTGTCATTTATTTACTATTTTTGTATATACACTGTATATTTGGACAAAACAATGTTAAGAACATAAAGTGATTAATAATAACCCGTATTCAAAACGCGGATAAAAGTAAAGAAATAAAACCGATAAATTGAACATTACGAAACTCTAAAACATTTATATATAAATAAATTCAAAAAAATTTTTTTTTCAAATTTGTTGTACATTTTAATTAACCTTTCAGAAAAGCACAAAAAAATAGAGTACTTCCAATGGTTACTGCTGCTCTTCATATTTGTAATTCAAACGCTTGGGGTTAAAAAACAATTTTTTACGTTTTTTTTTTCTTTCAGTAGTAACCCCTAACAAAATTTATATTTAAATTTAAAACT